GGCAGGTAGAGCCGTAAATGGATCGGATCTATCCAAATCTGATCCATTCATTAAGAATAATTATTTTATCCGATCCGATAATACAATGGATATTTGATTGTTAAATCTATATTTGATTTGCTATATTATAACATATTCGACCCAATGACCCGATCTGAAATGGAAAAAATAAAAATTATTAGTTAACTTCTAAGCCCTAGTATTAAAAAGGCCCATATAACTTTTTACCCAATCCTAGGCCCACCTATTTCTAACTACTTGTAGAAAGATGAATAAAATTCACTGTAGTTGTAATAGTATTCGGGACTTCTACTGTAGCTAAACAGTGATTTCACTGTAGATATCAACCATAGCCATTTTTTCGTACTCAAAAGGATGGTGAAGCCATTTCCATCTCAATTCTCCATTTTCCCACGCAAACCCATTTTCTGCAGACGGAAGCTTTCTTCTTCATCATCATCATTTTCATCTCTCACTTCTTCTTCAATTCTTTTCTCATTTTTCTTGTAATTAATTTCTTTGTGCAAAATTCTCATGAATAGAGAGGTAAATCCTGGCATGCCATTTTTCTCAGATTATGATTTTGTTTATTCAAGATTCTATGTGCAAAATTTTTTATTTCGAGTGAATAGAGATATATATCCTCGATTTTATTTGATAATTATAATTTTGTTTATTCGATTCACAATTTTGGGTTTTTGTATGAATAGAGAGGTATATTCCTGGTTTAATGTAAATTAAAATATTTATTAGCTTGTTAATTCGTTTATGTCTCTTGTGCATCTCATGCATCAGTAATCTTGGCAGAAATCGTGAAGTTTGGAAATAACTTAGTTTTGGATATTATTTAGATCATTATTCTGAGTTAATTAAATTTTTAGCCTATTTAGTAAAGTTTCCTGATGCATTAATTCAAATCTGAAATTTCTCCGCACAAAGCAGGGGAAGAGAATAAAATAGATTCTGTCATTGTTATTTAACTAGAATCTAAAGTTTGCACTGTTTTGTGCTGTGGTTAATGTAGATTAATTTTATCATTATAAATTTTAATTTTTTTCATTCTCTTTTATTTTTTATGATTATTTGGGTCTCTAGTGATTTGTGCTGGCTGTCTGACAATTTCATTTCTACTACTCGACTTCATGACTTAAGAGTCTCTTAGTACCCCCACCGATATTTTGGAATTCCTTCCACATATAATTTTTATGGATTCTGCTTAATTTATTACATTCTTCTTTATTTCCACAGTTTGCATGTTACATGTTTCCAACATGTTAATTGTAACAAAATTCAGTTATGGATTGTTAGGTAATTTAATTATGGAAAGACAATGTTGGGTACCTACATCTACACAACTTGATATTCTTCAAACCATATTTGATAGAGGAAATGATAGTCCAGCAAATGCAGAAATTGTACAAATAGGTTCCTACCTATCCTCACATAATCATATTTCTGAAAAAAAGACATTCGTGAGTGGTTTAAGAATATGCATACTCAGTTAGAAAGAGAAAGAAAACGAAAACAGTCGAATAAGAACTATGAAGTGCAACCTCATCGATGTGTGAGAAACTTCAGTCTAATAGGTTTGTATTTAACGTTAGATTTAATCCTATTTATCATACCCTTTAGCTTTATAAATTTTTCTTACAAAATTTTCTTTGAAAATGTTTTCTTATTCTTTCTTTCTTTTAGGTTATGATAATCATCAGCTTGAATCTCAAATTGATTTACGGAAGGATCAAACTATTGATGTAGCTATTGATGAAAATTGTGTTACTGAAAAGCTAAATAAAAATTATGAGGATAATCATGTTGAATGTCAGACAGATGTTGATGTCACTATTGAGTGTGCAGGACAAATTGATAGGGAAAATATCTCTATTGAACATTTTGTCTTGCCATGTCCTAGAACTTGTACACATTGTGGTGCAAAAAAAATCTGCACAGAAAGCAAGGGCTTTTGTTGTTGTGATGGAAATGTCAAATTACAGTTACATACTCCTGAACTATTTTATTTATTTACGTCTACATCTGAAAAGACTATTGCTTTTAAGAAAGTTGTTCGCAGTTACAACAATCATTTTGCATTCACTTCATTTGATGTTAAGTATGACAAAGAATTGTATAAGAATAATAAAGACATATATACTTTTCAGAATTCAGGGACAAATATACCATTTTAATATACCATTTTATAAACTCTCTTGTACCGCTAGATTGTCGTCCAACATATTTACAACTATATTTCTATGATACTGACAATAAAATTGGTAATAGACTTAATACTTCAGACATGTTTTGTGAATTGACTTTGAGAAGTTTGATGGACATTTTAAACAAAAATCCGTATTCTAACTTTTTTAGATCGTTGAGTGAAGTTACTGATCTAGAATATTTTCGAATTTTACTGAGGTATGACCCAGGTCTTGATAGAGAACATATAATTTGCCAACATCAGAACAGGTGGCTGTAGCTTAGGTTGATGATGGCCCATCTGAAAATACTCGGGGTCGGGATTTATTAATTTATGGACATTTGGTCAGTGTGTATAAAATTCAATATTATTATGGTTGTTATGATCCACTTCAATATCCATTACTTTTTCCGTATGGAGAACCTGGATGGCATGAAGGTATTGAAAAGGTAAATGTGAATGTATCCCATCTTCGAGTTTGTCAAAATTTAATAGAAATTAATAATCTCCACTTAGCTGAGGAGGTCTTGGAAATAGAAGATGATGGTAAAATATATTGCTCATAATAATTCATATTTTATTGACTAAATGTATTTATCTTATTATTGATAATAGATGATGAATGAATTTCATTAATATTGCAGTTTTGAAGACAAGGAGGAAACGGATGACAGTATCTTGTCGAGAATATTATTGCTACAAGCTCCAAATCAAGTCTGGAAACAATTGTCTTCTTTTACATATAGGCAGACTTTTACAACAATATGTGGTGGATATGTATGTTAAAATTGAAACATCAAGATTGGACTATTTTCGCAATAACCAAAAAGTTATAAGAGCAGAAGTATATCGGGGAATTGTAGATAGCATTCAAAATGGTGAAGATAGAGGTTATAAAATTGGTAGATCATTGGTGTTGCCTGCTGATTTTATTGGGGGTCTTAGAAATATGAGAAAAAGATATACGGATGCGATGTTTTTAGTTCAAAGGTATGGGAAACCTGATGTATTTTTCACGATGACATGTAATTCAAATTGGCCTGAAATAAAACGTGAATTGAGACACAATGATAAAATACAGAATAGGCCAGATTTGTTGGTGCGAATATTTCGGGCCAAGCTTGAACAACTAAAGACAGATTTGGTTAAGAGAAAGTTGTTGGCTCATATAGCTGCATATGTTTATGTTATTGAATTCCAAAAGAGAGGATTACCTCATGCTCGTTTTCTTCTAATATTTAAACCAAAATTTAAAATTAGAAATTCTTTACAAGTTGATGAAATGGTTTTGTGTGAAATATCAGACAAAAATAAATACCCTAATTTACATTCAGCTGTTGTAAAACATATGATGCATGGTCCTTGTGGACAATTGAATTCAAAGAATGTTTGCGTGGAGAAAAATGATGTATGTAAAAATAAATATCCAAGAGAATTTGCCCAATATACTTCATTAGGTAATGATTCCTACCCGCAATATAAACGTTGTAATGATGGTGTAACTGTGAAAGTAAAAGGCTGTCTGTTGGACAATAGATGGGTTGTGCCACACAACCTTTACATTTTAGCTAAATACGATTGTCATATTAATGTAGAGGTATGCTCTTCTGTTAAAGTTGTTAAATATCTATACAAGTACGTATACAAGGGTCACGACCGTATTCATTTTACTATGAATAAAGAAACAAATGAACACTTTGTTGATAAAATTACAAACTACCAAACGGCTAGATGGATTTCTGCACTTGAAGCTATGTGGACGATATTTAGTTTTGATTTATTCGATATGTCTCCTGCAGTGATTTGTTTACAGTTGCATACTAAAGATGTTATATATTCTTCTTAATGGAAATAACTATTCTGAGACTTGTTTGACTTAAACGGTTGTTTACAAAATGCCCATATTATTGCGTCAACTATTTGCTAATGTGTTGACTCTGTGTTGTGCTGCAAATCCAAGAAATTTAAGGGATAAATTTAAGGGTTTTATGATGGAAGATTATTTACGTAACGGTATATCACAACAGAATGCTGAGATGAGAGTTTTGCATTGTATAAATTATTTCTTGGAAGGTGTTGGTAAAAATGTGACTGATTTTGGCTTGGTAGATTTAGATTTGAATGTGACTAATGATGATAGCTTTCAAACTATGATTGTTGAAGAAACGACAAATATTAATGTTGAGTCAGACATACATTAACCTAAAAGTCTAAATAAAGAGCAACAAAATGCGTATGATATAATTTTGGATTGTGTTTTGAATGATAAGAATGGAATGTTTTTTATTGATAGCCCAGGTGGCACTGGAAAAACATACTTTTACAAGGCGTTACTTACTGCTGTAAGATCACAAAATCTTATTGCATTAGCAACAGCATCATCTGGTGTAGTTGCACCTTTATTACAGGCTGGTCGGACAGGACATTCACGATTCAAAATTTCACTTCAAATAAGTTCTGATATGTGCTGTTCGGTGAGTAAACAATCTGAACTTGGTAAACTTTTATCAATTTCTGAACTAATTATATGGGATAAGGCGCCAATGGTTCATAAATATGCTTTTGAAGTTTTGGATAAAATGTTAAAAGACATTACTGAATCTCCAATACCGTTTGGTGGAAAAGTCATTGTGTGTGGAGGAGATTTTCTTCAAGTTTTACCAGTTGTACAGAGAAGAACGAAAGAGGATATAACGAAGGCAAGTTTAGTTTTTTCACATTTGTGGCCTTCTTTCACACGACTACCATTGATTCAAAATATGAGAGCTAAATTAGATCCTTCGTTTTCTGAATATTTGTTGAAAATTGGGAATGGAATTGAGAGAGAACATTCATGCCAGATGATTATGCTTCCTCAAGATATCACCATCAATTTTGAAAATGAGTTTAAATCACTAAAGGAATTAATTAACATTGTGTTTCTCAATTTCCAGACATATGGAGACAATCTAAATATTATGATGAATAGAGTTATTTTAACCCCAAAAAATGAATATTTGGATTTAGTAAACAACATATTCCTGAAAGAAATTCCAGTAGAGAAGTTTACTTATTTTAGTTTTTGATGAAGTAATTGATAACAGCGAATGATTTATTCATGAAGATTTTTTAAACAGTCTAACTCCGAATGGTATTTCTCCACATGAACTTGTGCTAAAACGAAATTGTCCAGTTATGTTGCTTAGAAATATTAATCCTACAGAAGGTTTATGTAATGGAACAAGATTGATTTGTCATGAATTTAGACAAAATGTGATTTTGGCTGAAATTGGAACAAAAGAATATTAGGGAAAGCAAGTTTTTTTTACCTAGAATTCCATTCATTCCACTTGAAGGAGATAAACAATCAATACCGTTCAAAAGAACTCAATTTCCACTTCGTCCTTGTTTTGCTCCTTGTTTTGCAATGACTATTAACAAAGTTCAAGGTCAAACTCTAGATTTTGTTAGCTTATATCTTTCGGAAGATGTATTTTCCGATGGTCAATTGTATGTTGCAATATCCCGAGCTAGGACAAGAAAAGATATAAAAGTTTTGATCAAACCTTCTAGCAAAAATAAATCACACGGTTGTTATACAAAAAATATTGTTTATAATGAAATTTTGAACTTGATTCATGACAGTTAACCATTCTGAAGTAGCTTAAATTCAATTCTAACCTAAGAAGAAGGTACATATAGAATCCATTCCAACAACTAATATTTATGATAGAATGTTGATNATAATGCTTAATGAAAACTAATCATAAAATTGAAAATTAGTATAACATGTGAAACTATCATTAACAACAAAAGAAATAAAAAAACCATACACACACACACACAAATGTGCATGGCGTGCGGTACCCCGTAGAAAATGTGCGGGTATCCCCGTACCCGAACAATTGTAAGAAATTTTTTCTTTCTTTCACACTCAAGTATTAACAAAGTGTAAGAAACTCTCATTTTCAACTTTCACACTTGTGAATCTGGTGCCTTCAAATTGACTTGCTCTGCAAAGATGTCTATTTTCCAGTTTGCAGCGCGGAGAATGTACGGGACTACACTGCACATTTGTGTGGTGCCCGCACAACATAAAAAATGTGCGGAGTGTCCGCACATTTGTGCGGACACCGCTGTCACAAATTGTGCGGGGAGCCCGCACATAGGAAAAAATTTTGAACAAAAATTTTCTTTGTCTTTAAATCTTGATATATATACTTCTAGGCTAAACTCTCAAAAACAGTGGATCCATCTTTGGATCTTTCATATAATTAATTAATTTTAAGAGTTCTTTATACTCTTAACCTTCTTTATTTGACATGAATTAAAACATGAAGTTTTATTCAAATAAAGAAGGTTAAGAGTAAAAAAAACTTTTAAAATTATTTAATTACATGCACAAATTGTACGGGGTAGCCCCACACATTTGTGCGGCACCACTCGCACAATTCATGCGGGGTAGCCCGTACATTTGCCATCTCCATTAGTTTCTCTAAATACTATCAACAATATTTTGAGCTATATGAAATTTTAAATAAAATATATATTGTTTTGGTTAAAAGTATTATCTCTTTCTTTCATTTTTTCTTCCCACAAAATCTTGCAAAACATTACAAATTTTGCAAAGTCACGAAAATCCTGTAAGAAGGTGCCAAAACCACTGCCACATATTATGTCTATTTCTACAACTGTGGGAATACTTTGTCTATTCTACATGTGAACCTCTTGTCAAAACATTGAAAAAAGGAACGTACATTTCTTTAGCCTAAATACCTTCGTATACCATTTGTTCTCACCAAAAAAATTTAAGTATTTTTACCTACCACTTACACCAGCTTTGCTCAAAAAAATTCAGGTCTATTCTTTTTTTCTTACCTCTTTAGATAGATTTTTAGTTTTACGTAATGTCTAATTTTCAATATTTAATTGTGTTGTAAATCATATGATGTATATAATTCTTTCTAAATTTAGTGCAAACACAAAAATGGATGTGCCACATAACTTCTCCAAAATCATCGATGTTTCACTAAATCATAACATTCGTTTTGTAAGTTATATAATAATTTCTTTTTCCATATTTTTTAAAATCTTTTATTAATATTAATGTACCACTTATATTTTTTTT